TTTTTTTTTGACATGACAGCAAATAGGTGTTGATGAGGAAAAAAAAATGTTATCTACAGCTGATTACTGTTTCTACAGATTGAATTTTGTAAACAGAGTTTTTTAAAGTTATTCACTGATAAAAAAACTGTAATTTTTAGCACCCATTTCTGATTTGTTTAATTTGACTACGCAACAATAACTGTTTTCTATCAGCTGTTTCTATTTTTCTGCTACACTTAAAGTGTTACTTGAATCCAAAAAACTTTAGTTTATTTTTATCGTTCTGTATTAGTGTTAAATGTATGTGTTTCGGTGCTTTACTTTATCAAATCTTTATGATATAAAATAATAGAAAAAAAGCTTTTTTTTTTACTTTCTCAAATTAAGATAGAAATTTGCTTTCTTTGACAACATGCGAAAAAAAACGACACTTTAGCATTGTTTTTTCCTTCAGTTTCTCATTTTGTTTTAACTGTGTTGATGCCTTACTTGTTTTCTTTTATTTTCCCTTTCTTTTGAACAGCTTTAATGCTTTGATTATTACTGCTGAATGATGGAAAAAGCTCAAAGATAGATAAGTAGTTAGCGTAACTGAATAAGCACTGTTGATTACACACACTGAAGATCCATCGTTACAGGGAAAGTGGATACGTAAGCCATGCTACCACAACTTTGGGTGGCGGCTTTCCTATATTTTCCCATATGTGCCGCCTTCAGCTTCAATTTTTTGGGATCTTCACATAATGAGGTTTGATTTTTGTATTTTCCTTCTCCAAAAAAAATTTTGATCTTGCTACCTGATAAATTGGTTGCTGTTTGGTCAATGAATTTGTTGGTTAAAAATTTCTCTTCCAGATTTATGGAACAAGAAACAAAAACAACAACAATAAAAAAAATGGTTATTGAATTTTCATTAGATTTATGGCGATCAAAAAAAAAAATCAGATTGAAAAAATTTAAAACTCTGTTCCAGTCATTATTTCAGTCTACAGTAGTGTTTTTTTTCGTTAAACTTTGCAAACAAAACAGTTTACGTGAATAATAACAAACGGACAAAGTGCACTGAAAAGAAATAAGAAAAAAAAAAGCATTTTCAGCAAAAAAAATAATTCTCCTCTTTTTTTTTTCAATCACATCCACTATACTGTCTGTTGTGCAACAGTATCATCAGTTATCCGTTTGCCAATTATGGTTTCTAAGAATTCTACAGACATTGTACTTTTTTTGCTGATATTGAGGATAAGTCAAACTGATTGGAACTGTTTAGAAACAGAGGAAAAGTTGATCCACTGACAAGTGTTTTACAATCGATTGATTTTGAAACATTACAACTTCTACAACAAATGTCATCTTTTAATCTTTATGATTTTTTTTGAAAAAGAGCGAGAGGTGCGAGTGATAAATGTGGCTTTGCTCTGCAGGGCAAAATTTATTTGCATCCAAGCTCGCCAAAAGGAGTGGACCCGGCATTACAAAGGCTAAAACGACAAGCATATCAGACGATTGTCGGTGGCGACAGTGTTCCGACACTCGACCAAGCCGGAAAATTAGAATCCGGACTTTGGGACCCATGGTCCGCACAAGGGGAATGTTCAAGAACCTGCGGCGGTGGCGTTCAAGTCGAAAAACGCCGTTGCAAGTAGGCATTCTGCGGAGTAACTCTTCCAGCAAAGATGTTTGCCTTTATTCACCTTAGGCTCTTATGCACACTTCAAGCTGTCCAATCAGCAATTTAATGCGGTTTTAGGGGGAAATGTACTGGTCCTTCAGTGCGGTATGTGTCATGCAATGTGGAAGACTGTCCTCCTGGTTCCAAAGATTTTCGAGCAGAACAATGTTCACAGCGAAATGACTCCCCTCTTGACGGAAAGTATTACAAATGGGTACCTTATCAAGGAAAAAATAAATGTGAATTGACTTGTAAGCCGGAGAATGAGAACTTTTATTTCATTTGGGCTGATAAGGTATATTGCTTCTGAGTACTACTTGAAATTTCGATTTCATTTTAGCTCTCAACAAATTTTAGAACTAGAACGGTTTTGTTTAATTGGTTGTCTTCAAACCAAATCGTCTAAGTGGGTAAACGGTAAACAAAAAAGAGGAATGAAAATATTAAGATTTATTCAATGCAACTGAAAGGTTTGCTTGAAGGTCATCGATGGCACAAAATGTGACAAGCAAAGTGACGATATCTGTGTTGATGGGATTTGTTTGTCTCTTGGATGCGATAAAAAACTTGGATCAGGTTCGTGGAGATGACTTTACTTGGTTGATTAGTCAAAATTAACATCAGTAGCTGAAATAATTAAACCAGCACTAGCATATTCTTTACCTGTAGCAAATATCTTTTAAGCTATGAAAAAAGATAAGTGCGGTGTGTGTGGTGGCAACGGATCGACTTGTAAAACTGTGGAAGGATTCTTTGATGAGCGTAACCTAAAACCTGGCTATCATGATGTTGTAAGACTTCCAACCGGTGCAACGTCAATTACTGTTGAGGAGTTGAGGCAAACAACAAACTCACTAGGTAACTGCTTTCAGAAATGCGAATTTATTGCTTGAGAAGGTGGTTCAAATGATCAGCTAGTTTGGTCGATTAGTTGTATCATTTTAACAAGTATTTTGAAGACGATAAGAATATTTTTGAAAATTTTGAAATTTTTTATTTGCAGCCATTAAAAATGGATCAGATTATTTCTACTTGAATGGAAATCATCAGATTCAGGTGGTAGATAAACCGCTTGAAATTGGGGGTACCATTTTTGAATACGACAACCAGAAACATCTTGGAAGGTCATTTGAAAAACTGGTTGCGAAAGGTCCAACAAACGAAGAACTTATAATTGCATTGCTATTCCAACGCGGAAGCCAGGTACATTGTGATTCAATTGCAGAAAATCTTTTAGCAGTTTCACGAAGCATTTAGTCAACATGAGGAAACAGCTGGTTGAGATTGTATGGAACAACGTCTAGAGATGAAAATAACATTTTTTAGCCAAGTGCAATAAAGTACGAATTCTCAGTACCATTGGCGTCTGAAGTACCGTACATTTACAAGGCTCGAGAATGGTCAGCATGTTCAGTAACCTGCGGGAAAGGTTGACTGTTCTTTAAATCATAAAGCTTTTTTCATTTGAAAATCATTATCTTTTTTCTTTTTTTCTTTATTATGAAATAACACTCGTTACCAATCATACTGACTCGCAAAAACTGTAACGCTGCAGCAAATGGTAGAAAACAAGCTGGATGTAGGAATCACGAGAACATAGTTTTGTTGTAATTACTGAACATTCTGTTATTAAATCCCGGTTACTTATTGATAACTCTAAATTTGAAGAAAATTTAAGTTTTAAATGTCATCAGTACTTATAATGGAACATTTTAAGGCACAAAAACAAGAGATTACGCCTGTATTGAAAGCCAGTCACAACAAATAGTTGATAATAAACTTTGTGAGGAACATAATGCCACGTTGCCGGAATTAGAGCGATCTTGCGAAACAGTGGACTGCGAATCACAGTATCTAAATGATTTTAAATATAAAATCCCTCAATTAAGGTCATGGTTTCTAAAGCAAAACCTTCTTTGTTTTTAGGTGGTATACGGGAAAGTGGGAACAGTGTTCGACCACATGCGGTGAAGCAGGAACTCAATACCGTACCGTTTACTGCCATCAAATGTTCGCGGATGGTAAACGGATGACTGTTGAAGATTCTAACTGCACTGCGGAAAGGCCACCGGTAAAGCAAGCATGCAACAGGTTATTTTCAATTAATATTATTATAATTTAAAAAACAAGGATGTCTTTAAACTCATTTGGTCTATGCTTCTGAACAACTTTCGCTAAGCAACGATTGATCTCCATACTGACGATTCTTTAAGAAATTTTAACTGCGTAGTAGATGGTGGGCAACTCTTTTTTCCTGCTTACTTTTTTGAAGAACCTATATTTAATGTTTTTTTTTGATTTTTATTCGAGTTCTAAAATTTATTAATCTCGCTTTGTTGGATGAAATTAATCATTATTTTAAGATACAAAGTCATCTAAAGTCATCATTAATTGATCACTGTCAAGTGGTTGTGCAAAACATAGCGAAGTTTACTCTGCACCTGTTAAGCTATGATTAATTATTGAGAAGAAGCTATCATAAGGCAAAAGTTATAGGTTTCCCTGTCCAGAATGGGAATCTGGTCCATGGAGTGCGTGCTCTGAGAAATGTGGAGATGCGCTCCAATTCCGATCTGTTACATGTAGGAGTAGAAAAGAGGATGAGGCAGGCAAATTGTTAGTTGGTGAGGCTTGCGGAGAGGAGAAACCGGAGAGTGAACGAAACTGTAATCTTGGCCCTTGTGAGGGATTAAAGTTTAAAACAACTAATTGGAAATTGGTTCGCCGTTTTGTTGAATATTATTAACTTTTTGTTATTTCTTACAAATAAATCTTTAAATTTTGCATTAACCTCTAAAGTAATAATTATCTGAAGTTGTTTAGTGTGAAAAATGTAATGACACTACGGAGACACGTAATGTTACTTGCGAGGATGCTCAAGGTCGAATTTACCCGTTAGAAAAATGTTTGAACGCCAATGAAACTTCGGTACCCATAGACCAACGTTCTTGCGCAACCCCTGCAGTAAGTCTCCTGCTGCAAATCAATGACGTATTTGTAACTGCCTCAGGGCATCTTAAATGTTCATTATCTTCTAGCTTATGAACTGACAACTCTAGGCTAGTTGAATGAAATGTTGCTTTCGCTTGACTATTAATGGTATATTCAAAATTTTAGCCATGTCTTTATGAATGGCACGCGTCGCAGTGGTCAAACTGCAGCACAGAATGTGGACGTGGGCATCAGAAACGCAGAGTCGTTTGTGCTATATATGAACTTGGTGGAATAACAGTAAGATCTTTCCTTGTTTACAAGAAACAGATGTTTAAGACAAAAATTTACTTCTGTTCCCGTTTTGTTCATCATTTTTTAAAGTACAAAAGAAGTGGGTGAGAATGGTTTTTCTGCCCT